ATGAGCTCCATTTTCATTTACTGCAGTTGTAGGGGGCACATTCCTGGGGAGGGGGCTGTTCCATGCTCCCCTCTGTTCCCTCAGGGATTAACACAGCTCCGGAACAGGTGCTTGGAAATGTTTGTTAAGCTGAGCCCCTAAACTGCCCTCATTTTTTTCCTTTATTCCTCCAGGCCCTCCTGGTCCCACTGGGGACCCTGGGCCCAAAGGATTTGGCCCTGGATATGTCAGTGGCTTCCTCCTGGTTCTCCACAGTCAGACGGACCGGGAGCCCGCCTGCCCCCCAGGCATGCCACGGCTCTGGACTGGGTACAGTCTGTTATACCTGGAAGGACAAGAGAAAGCTCACAATCAAGACCTTGGTAAGCATAGACCGCATGGTCACCCATGTCACCACTTGAAATGTCAAATGTTGGCATTAATTTTACTGATTCATTAACATCTTAAATGTTCACTAATCTTCTGTGGGATTATTTTTACTTTTTAAAAACCCACCATGCTAATTTTCAGCTAATTCTATTAAACCCATGATCCCACATTCTTCCTTAGTGAGTTAACTGTAACTCTGTTCCAAAATGCCCTTCGTACTTCCAAATGTAGATGATCTGATCAGGATGTGTCGGGTCCTGCGTGTATATGGAACGCTGCATCCACAGCGCCCTGATGGTCGTATGTCATGGCACTTGCCGGCTTCAACTCCACACCCTCCTCCAGTCTGTTTTTAAATTACAGAGCATTATCTGGAGGGTTATCCCTTGGTGCTCCTCGTCAGTTTTCGATAGCAGATCTGTAAGCTGCAGAGGCCGATTTTAAATCAAGGGCTCAAGTGCCTGAGGCCCGGCAAACACTCTCTCCGAGACGATGCCGGTTAGGGTGGTGGCTGCAGGGGGAATGTACCAGCAGCCACAGTCGATGGTGCGGTGAGTCTTGTCACTGCTGGACCATGACCCCAGCTGTTAGTAAGGGTGGTCAGAGGCCTAGGGGTGGCAGCTGCTACACATCTGCATTTCCCCCAAAGGGTTCCACGATGGCCTTTCCCACCACAGGATCCTAGTTTCTTTGAGCACGGGAGAAAGGAAGAAGTAATTCACTGTATCTTATATCTATTTCCTTCTCTCTTCCTCCTCCTTCTATCAGTCTCTTTGCTGCCTAGTCTCTGACCACCAGTCTTGCTTCTGCTGCCCTAGTCTAGCCAGAGCACACATCTTAAAGCTCTGCAGAACTCTTGGGGTAAAGTCCAAACTCCTTCACAAGATTGACAAAGCCCATATCCTCTGGCCCGATTTATCTCTGAACACCCCTGAGACAGACAGACAGACACACAGACACTCTCCCCTGTTCCCCCTACTGAATGTGTCTGAGTTCTTTGAGCTCCACGCACCCTTACCTCAGGCCCTCTCTCCTGTTGTATCTTCTCCTTTGAATGGTCGCCACTGCCATCTCCAAACCTGGCTAAATCCTTTTCATATTTCAAGTCCTAACTCATCACTTACTCCACTTATCCTTCCCAGAGGTCCCTGTACCCCGCACCTCTCGTTCAGCGCTTGTCATGTATTTCCATTGCCTACTCACTCATTCATCTCGGGCCCATGAGAGATGTGTTCAGTGCTCACCTCCAGCACCCGGCCCATTGCTTGGCTCATGTGTGAGGGATGAGTGGATGAGCAGATGAGGGCTGGCCTGCAGGACCAGGAAGAAATGGCTTCACTGCCACAGAAGTTGGCTTTGGCAAGGGCCTCCAGGCCCGGAACATAAGTCTGAGAGGGCCAGGTGGAGGAAGGTCCCTGAGCAACCTGCACAGGCTGTTTAGATACCGGTTGTCTCTTCTTCCCTCCCAAGGTCTGGCAGGGTCTTGCCTTCCCGTGTTTAGCACACTGCCCTTTGCCTACTGCAACATCCACCAAGTGTGCCACTACGCCCAGAGAAACGACAGGTCCTACTGGCTGGCCAGCGCTGCACCGCTCCCCACGAGGCCACTCTCGGAGGAGGAGATCCGCCCGTATGTCAGCCGCTGTGCCGTGTGCGAGGCCCCGGCCCAGGCGGTGGCAGTGCACAGCCAGGACCAGTCCATTCCCCCGTGTCCACAGACCTGGAGGAGCCTCTGGATCGGGTACTCGTTCCTGATGGTGAGGCCCCTGCCCTTGAACCCTGGTGCACCCACCATTTCCTAGCACCTTCTCTTGCCCTTTCTGTCTGGGTTGGACGGGAACGGGGCACACTCTGCAAACAGCCACAGGACATTAGGTCATGAAGGCTGCTGCAAACCGTAGCCTGTTGGGATGCAGGGCCGTTATCTTTTCTTTATCACTTTGGTAGATTTACTTCAGCCATCGGTGAAATTGGCTCCGTTTTGTGTGCACACCCAACCTGCTTACTACTACTCCTTTCCAGCAGATTGTATTTTGTTCTTTATGCAATGATTTAAAGAAAAATGTTAAAATCAGGCCCAAACCTGGGCGTGCCTCGGATTGGGTCTGGGGTTGTCTGCCATGTGTCTGAGCCCTAATTCTCTCTTGTTGTCTGGGTAGCACACAGGAGCTGGGGACCAAGGAGGAGGGCAGGCCCTCATGTCACCTGGCAGCTGCCTGGAAGATTTCAGAGCAGCACCGTTCCTTGAATGTCAAGGCCGGCAGGGAACTTGCCACTTTTTTGCAAACGAGTATAGCTTCTGGCTGACAACCGTGAGACCAGACCTGCAGTTTGCTTCTGCTCCATCACCAGACACCTTAAAAGAAAGCCAGGCCCAGCGCCAGAGAACCAGCAGGTGCCAGGTCTGCGTGAAGTATACCTAGAGAATTTGAAATCCGCCAGCCTGTGGCCAAGAGCCACTCCCTAGAGGGCTCAGACTTCCTAGGCTGTGCTAAGAGACGTCATGGTGGTCATTTTGGATTCCCTTGCAGCTATCTCTTCAGTTCATCGTGGGTATTCCCTCAGGCCTCTGTTCCTTACAGATTACGCAAATGCAATGCATATGGATTTATTTGGATCTACCAATCCAGACAAAACCCAGATACGCTTATTTTATTGAGGATGATGGAAGAGCTGGCCTTATTTACAAATATGCTAATTCATAGGAAGACAAGTAGATGATAAAGGCCAGATTACAGATTACATTACTGAAAGCTTCACTCGTTGGTTCACAGAACCCCAAACAATTGAAGTCAATTACTCCATAATACAGTGGGCTTCTGGATAGATTTTACGGGAAAAAAGAAATACTCCATCAAGTGAAACTAGAAAGTAGAGATTTTCAACATTTCAACATGATTTCATCTGTAATCTGTTTTTCCATGCACTTTAAATAATTGCAAAACCATGACCCAAAGAGATTTTTAAAAAGAAGAAAAAAAAAATCCACAGTGCTAGTGTTAACGGTTCGTTTCAAAGCAGAATGAATCATCATGCCAGAAAGGCCCACGGTCGCTGCATTCCGGAGACGCGACATTAGCATAAACACATCACAGATGAATATAAAACATTATGTTCTCGTCTGCATTTTTCAGAGAATAGAAATTCCTACTTTGGCAACCCTTTTGAAAAGTAGCAATTACGGAAAAAAATATATTCAATAAGGGATTAAGAGCCTAAAAGCTATTAATGAATATTAAGGTAGTGATTCACAAAAATTGACTCCCCATCACAGTGAACTTGCATACAGACTGCTTTTCCCCAGTCGGGGTCCGGCATGTCCTCGCTGCGCGCGTGCTAATGGGACGAAGCGACATGGGGCTTACTCAGGCGGGCGCATGGTTCGTACAAAGCATCTCGGCCCCTCCCCGGGAGAACCCGCAGAGCTTCCTTGGGGCTCACAATGGACCTTTTTCCTCCACGCACATAATGGCAGCTCACGCGGGGGAGCGACAGAGCTATCATTATGCACTTGGGAGAAAATTAAGGGCGACTTAATTAAACTTAGGTAAGAAGATTTAAGTCAGGGTCAGCCCACCAGGAGGACATGGCACTGTCTTTAAACGAAACAAAGACAATCTACAATTTGAATTTTATGCTCCTGTGGTTGGTTTTATCAAGAGCATCCCATTTTGACAATTTTAAAAACACTCCTATGTTTTCTATCAGCATTGTACCAAGGCAGCAGTTTGACATTTGGCATTCGTATTTTCTATAAAAGTTTAAAAGCTATGTCAATGTATAATGAGTAAGTTCTCTGAATAGCAAACCATCCTTTTTCTATTTTGCTGGGAATTCAGTGGTCTAATCCTAAAAATCAAAAGGTTTGTTGGAAAAGATTTTTAGGAAATTTGCCTTCCTCATCTACAAAAAAAAAAAAAAAGCATTTTAGAGAAAACTAGAGAAATTTCTCATGAGAACGACACTCCTATTAGTGTTTAGTTTCAGTGCACTTAAAAATAATTGAGAAGAAAAGCTCAATTAAAATTTTGTTTATCAGAAACGTTTTCCTTGCCAAGCTTTGATTAGTAATGAACTCTTCTATGCAGAACACATTTCCAATGAGTTTTGCTATGGGCTGCCCTCAGGATGGAAATTTATATTAAGAGTATTTTCTGATAAAAAGAAAAATGTACATTTTAAGATGAAATATTTTCTTATATAGCAGCATATTTCCTAGTTCATTTGATATTTTCTAAACCATGCTATGGCATGTTAAATATTTTTGAGCACCTGAAATTTAAGGCAATTTCAACCTTATTTGTAATTATAATTTTGCTTCCAAGAGTGTTGTCTATCACCAAAAGTCAAGCCTCCAAAAAGTTCATGTTGTTCATCTGAGAACATTTTCTGGAAAGCAGTAAGGGTGGTAAATGGAACATCAGAAACATATCTTGCTTGCTGAATTGTTTTAAACTCTCTAACTTTGGTATTAGAATATTATTTTAGTAAGTTTTATAAGTAGATAATTTTTTTCCACAGTGAGGCTGGGATCGTGAGTAACAGACTGTTCAAAATACTAGTATCACAAGAGCTCTCTATAAATGAAGCACAAACACTACCCTCTGATTATGAAAAAGTATTTTAAGTAGTCAAAGGGCAAAACATTAGGAAAAATAGCTTCTTGGAACAGAGGAACATGTTATCTTAAGCCATTATTTTCTTCACCTGGTGCTTTAAATGCACTTTAAATATCCTTTCTTGGCTGGGTGCGGTGGCTCACACCTCTAATCCTAGCACTTTGGGAGGCTGAGGCGGGAGGATGGATCCCTTGAGGCCAGGAGTTTGAGGCTGCAGTGAGCTATGATGACATGGCTGCATTTTAGCCTGGGCAACAGAATGAGACCCTGTCTCAAAATAAAAGAAAATAAAATATCTTTTCTCTGTGAAGGTGATGAACAAAGCTTTGAAGTTATTCTCCTAACCTAGTACTGGTGAGGATCCTTATCAAATCCTCCTTCCCAAGGATCTCCGCTGACCTTTGTGGTTGGAATGTACCTAGATCGCTCTAATGGGAATTGCTCTGTGGCCCATGCCGGAGGAGTGGGATGCTTCCCTCTGGGTTTGTATTCTCAGCTAGTGGAGCCCATTCATCCAGGCAGGCCTCCATGCTGCGAGCCGCCCTTTCCTTCTACACTCACACCCCCTAGACCGAAACTTGAGTCCCCTCTTCTTGTGGATTGCTCCTTCCTCCCTCCACCTGCCTAATACAACCTGTGTCTTCCACCTATACTCTTGCCGTAGGCATGTCCCTACTGATGCCTCCAGTTTCAAATCCCAGTCATCATCTAACATCCACCCAAACTTCACTTTGTTATCCTTTGGATTAAAATCCTTCAGTGACTCCACTGCCCGTGAAGTCCCAATGACTTCACGTGGGGTGAAAGGTTCAGCGGGAACTGTCTGCGACTCACCACTGGGACCATCTCGTCACGACGCACTGCGGGCAGTTCTGCACACTCCCAGGCCCTCTGTGACTCTGCCCCTGCTCTTTCCACCAGCGATGTCCTCCTTCAGGTCAGTTTACTTGGCAGATGCCTACTTATCTTTAAAGACTGAGTTGGGAGGTGAATTCCCCCAGGGAGACGTGGACTCCCTTCTGCTGCTCCTCGTACAATGAAGGGGGCTCTCTTCATTCTCCCTGTTCCCCATTGCTTTTCTAATGTCTCAGCACACTCCCTTCATTCCACTGCCAAAACGCAAGCCCCTCGAGGGCAGGGACCATGCTTTCCTCATTTCTTTGGTATGCCCAAGGACTAATACAAACCTGAGCTCATCATGGACACTTAATTTTTTTTTTCAACGACAATTCCATAACCATCGTGAGGCATTTGGTGTTCAGCTCTGCATATAAGGTCCTCACTGGTGAGATGGGAACAAGTATAACCCATTTCTTACGTCGGAATATTTGAATGTTCAACATATCTGCTGCACACCCACAATTATTTTGGGGAGAGGGACTGATGATAAGCTTTCAATTGGCTTGTCACTCCCCCATCCAAAAAAATAATAGATTCTTACTTTTCTATAAACTGAAATTTCAGAAATGATGAGATTTGAATAAGATCCTTTGGTGAAATGTGACATGACTTAACTCATGCTGTAATCTGTATCTCCTCATGGCTTAAGAGCTTCTTAGGACAAAATCACCTCTACAAAGTTTGTATACATGTGATTGGTGCTTAGAAAAATAGTCCACAGAATGGTCCACTGTAATTGGCTTTTATCAAAGATTTTACTTTTGACCAGCCTGGACAACATAGAGAGACCCTGTCTCTACAAAAAATTTTTAAAAATTACCTGGGCTTCGTGGTGGGTGTGCTTCTAGTCCCAGCTACTTGGGAGGCAGAAGTGGGAGGATCACTCGAGCCCAGAAGTTCAAGGCTGCAGTGAACTATGATTGTACTGCTGCACTCCAGCCTGGGTACAGAGCAAGACCTTGTCTCAAAAAAAAAAGATTTTATTTTGAGGCTCATGTAGATTATAATACAGTGAACCATTTTATGTGCTCCAGGAAATCATATTAGATTTGTGTTTCTATCAGCTCATTAAAATAATTTGAATACTGGAGAGTTGGTTGAACACAGGTTTGAATCCGGTTCTATCACTGTCCAGCTGTGTTACCCTGGGTGAGTTTTGCCAACTCCCTGAGCTTCATTTCCCTTGTTTATGAAATGGGACATAGCATCTACTCTTGCATTGAAAATTAAGTTAGGTTATCTGTCTAGAACATAGCAGTCATCACACATTTATTATGGTCACATCTATTTAAAATAAACTAATATGAAAAATATTTCTTGGGTGTTTTACACAGAATTATGATTCTCACAGAGTATATAAATTACTGATTAGAATTATTTATGTGTGGCCAATTCTTAATGTCCTTGGGAATGCTGTTTTATTTCAATTCTCAAAATTACTGTACCACAAAAATTATCACAATTTCCTACAGCAACATAATCTGTTAAGTCCTGCAGGGAACAAACAACTGACATTAAAAAATCAGTACTTTGCAATTGTCACTGTTATTATCTGCTAGAAACTCTGCATAATGCATTTTAAACCACCAAGGCTGGCTGCCACATCCATGTGAAATGCTTGAATTTTATGGTGCTTAAATATTTAATGACTCATGGGAAAAATGTGAAATATGTCCAGTAAATTGCATCCCTTTCTTTAACGTATGGTTGTAAAGACTTTTTAAGATTATTAAAGTTTATTAACTAAAGTAAAAACTAGGGTCCACTTTTTGTGTTAGACATTCAATGGGTTTTGACAAATGTACAATGACATGTATTCCCCATCACAGTATCATACAGAGTAGTTTCATTTTCTTAAAAATCCCCTTTCTCCACTTATTCATCCCTCCTTCCCATCCCCGCCC